CAAGACTCTGCTCAGCACTTGTGAGAACTGTGCGACGGCCTGCCAAGTGTTTTTCCGGATCGAGCAGTTTTGCGAGCTGTTGCGTGTCCCCATCTATGATAGCCTTTCGATTATTATACACTGTCGTGCAAGTGACACCACTTCGGGTGGACACTTCCCTTGGAGAGATGCCGCGCTGCAGGAGCTGTAATGATTTTCCCCGTCTGATACGCTCATCTTTTCTTTTAGCAATCCTTTTGTTATGTGCGATAGTTTGAGCGCGCATGGAGCTCGGCATGTCCGCACCAACGATCAGGAGCACTGTCTACGGAAGGATGAGGGAGTTGGGAGAGGGGCGGTAGGCATTGAAGGATGGGGGAGGGGTGTGTGAGAGAGAAAAAGAGGTTCGAAGGTGGGGTACTCAAAAATATATTGTCCAGAATTGACCCTTTTCCAGAATTAGACCAGTGAGAACGGTACTGTAGTACGATACATACCGCACAGTATATGTACTGTAGCAGTATATGCGGTACTACAGTTTGTACTCCAGCGCAATTCAGCGGGTACTCCCGAGTAGAGCACATACTAGGCGGAGGGAGCAGCTAACGGGGTGTTTGGAAGACCTCCAGTAACTCCGGAGAAACAAATATGGTCTTCGCAATAGAATGAGCATATCATACGTTGGTGCCTTAAACATAAAAAACACCATATCACAACGAATCATATCAAGGCGGAGAGAACAGTTACGACCTTTTATTTCACTGTGTGACTTGGCTATTCGTGCCCTAATTTGTATGGCCTGTAGTCTATTCGTACGAAAGAAAGTCATTTCGGAATAGAACGACATTCTCTTCAAGTTTGCGCGAAAATTGCGCGCCATTCCCGAAACGACACAAACCCAGCCACGAGGCAACTGCTGACCTAACCATGCCAGTTCTTCCGTACTCGTGAACACATTCCCTTGTCATCGTCGGGTCCCATTTTCCCCACCCACTCCTCTTGGTATTGCCTTCACCATGCCTCCCCGTGGTGCGCCCCCATCTGCCAGCCGAGCACTTGCGCTACTGCAAGAAATCCAGGCTGCCGGTCAGGAAGAACTTGAAGCATATGATGACAATCCGATGCCGTCAGACTCTGAAGACGAGAACGACTCTGACGAACCTTTATACACTCGCTTCTTGAATGCCAACGGGTCACAAGGGATCATGGATATGATAAACTTTACGCCCAACGAGTTTATCGCGATTTTGGGCTCATATTCGTGAACACGTCAGTTCAAACTACAATACAGGCCGTGGTAGCAAGTCAGCCATAACTGGAAAAGATATGATCTTCATGACAATGTGCGTGTTAAAACAGGGCGCCAAATGGGATATAATGGCCTATGTGTTCGGTATCAAACCCCCCACATTCGAGAAGCGCGTTACAGCGATGATCGGGCTCCTCTCGGGACACTGCTACGACAAATTTATCGCCTTTTATCAGAACAAGTATGCCATGACCCGACTCCAGGCCGACAAGCGCACGTTCAACAAATACAAAATGTGTCTCTACGCATGCGACGTCACCTTTCAGCAGTCTTATCGTCCCGGTGGTTCACTCGAGGAATCAAAGCACTGCTTTTTGGGAAAGCATAAACTCTACGGTTACAAGACGGAAGTTGCAGTCCTTCCCAATGGCCTCAGGATACACTGCAGCGCACAAGAGCCTGGGTCAGTAGCAGACATTGAAATATTTCATCGTAATCTTGGCTTTCACCTTGATGCTGTTGAAAAATCTGTTGAGGAGCGAGCAATCACAGACATTAGTAATGGGGTTGATGAGCATCCGAATCATTGGGACATATTATTTGACAAGGGCTATCAAGAAATCCAAAGTGACATTCGTGCAGTAATGCCCATTAAAAAGCCCACGGGAAGAGTGCTCACATTGGAACAGCGTAGGGAGAATGAAAACATTTCAGGGGACCGCATTATAGTGGAGAACTACTTTGGAAGGTAATCTGCTTTGTGGGCTATCGCGGCAAACAAGTACAGATGGAGTGAGTCTCTGTATGATGGTATATTCAAGCTCACGGTTGCGCTTACAAATCTTCATATTCGATGGCATCCTCTGAGGGACGCCGATGGTCAGACTTATGAGCGCTACAGAAAGCGCCTCAAAGAAATTGCCGAGTCTACAGTAGCAAAGCGGAAGAGAGCGCAGGCCTCGTATCGTAAAAGGCGTAGGCGTAGGATGGAGCGCGAGCTTCGGGGCATAGATATGGAAGAAGGTGCGGGGGCATTGCTCGAAGAGGATGAAGAAAGCCTTAGTTGTTAGGATACTGTAGAGCCGCGATATTATCTGTCAGATGCGATGAGAAAGCTGTTGTGCACATTTTCTTTGTGTATGATCAGATAAATAAACTCTACTATCAGCTACCAAGTCTTTTCGTACGTGTGGTGATGACTCCGCAGTGTCCAACGCACCCACAGAATGCGTTGGAACTGCTTCGCAGATCTACTGTACCCTTGGTACAGTACGTGCGAGCCTGTAGGGTCTGCACAACTGTGAGATGTACGCAGTTCAGAAGTGACAATGCTTATGAAACTAAAAGACAATGAAGGCAGCTTGTGGAGAGTTGTCATTCGTTTGCAGAGGCTGAGCGGTAGGACATAGATGTACGGTACTGTACGCAGAGAGATGGCCATCAGACGTCAGTGAGGGTCAGCTATAAAAACGCACTCATTTAGTGTCTTTTGGTGTTTCGTCATGCCGAGTGTGGTACCATACTGTTGGCGAGAAAACAACCCCGAGGCACTTTGAGTAATTGAAAACTCCCCATTGGGACAAAGGGTGCTGCTATACCGTCACTCGACCAACGGATAGGCCTGCCCTTAACGAGTCCAGAATAATATAACATACAAGTATTATTGCGAATACCAACACCAGCAATTACGACAGGAGAAGAACAGCCACACTTGCAACTCTACGTTGCATCAATGCGTTCATGGGAAGAACGTTGCGACCACGACAATCCCACTACATGTGCTGCTCTTTGGCAATATTGAACTCCAAATGTTCGATATTTCATAGATGGACAGGTATGTAGTTTCTGAATCATGTTGGCCGTCCCTCGAGAAAGCTGTTTTCACTTTGAAGTTTACATGCTCTGGAACAAAAACGTCGAAAGCACCTGTACAAAGCTTCGGGTGCCTGCAATTCTTAAGATGCTCATACATCTGGTTCTCTTTACAAAGGTTGTGCCGTGTTCAAAGGGCAACCCATTTCAAGTTAAACAAGAAGACGCGAATTGATCGTGTAAATTGAAATTGATGCATCCTCGAATGACCTGGGTGTTCCAAAGTGACTCGTACTAGTCAGGGTGTGCCATGCCGCAAGCAGATGCTTCATGCGCGTAATAGTGTGCCCCGAGAAAGAGGAAAGATAGTGGGTTTGCCACCTTTTCTTCCGGACGCGATACTATTGTGCGGTACAATGTAGCGGAATACGTTTGTCGTCGGTGCGTTGGCTAGTGGAGATGCGACAGCGGAGACAGATGACTTCTACGCACAGTTCCAACAACGTCTGTCAGTGATTTGCTAACCATTACAATTATCACCTTGTTTAATGCTCCTTGTCTCGTATCAGGGATTCGTTCACGTCGTCATCGAATGCAAACACCTGCCGTGCTCTCAGAAGCATGAATTGGAGTCTCAGCTCCCGGAAGAGAATCGAGTTGGAAAATGGTGCGTTTGTGAGGGCGAGACTAGAGCATACGCGGCAACTCTGTAGTGGAAGGAAAAGTTACGTATCTGATTCTACTTGTATGCGATCAGACTTTGCACAGCGACCAACACGCTCACCCCACCAACAATCGGCGACAGAAATCCATGGGGGCACTCGCTTTTTCTCGTGCTAGTGTCGCGTGAGTCGCAGTCAGTAACCATAAAAGAAGTCTTGTTTTGGTACAGTATGAGGTAATGGCTCTGTAAGCAGTGCAGCCTCTATTCCATCGAGAACAGGCCGAGTCAGATGCAATCATCAATTGGTGGACAGCCGGGACAACCTTTCTTCCGCAACATACCCAGCGGCGGAACTAAAGTTGGTATGTATGTGCGTGAAAATATTTAATTGGTGTGTGAGAAACAAAGTCGTGTCCGTCGCCCCTTGCTTATCACTCGCAGTGTTAGTATGCCATTGATTGTATGTGGTGCAAGGAAGCGAAAACTGCAGAAGCAAGCGAGCGCAACGATGGGCGACCTCGTACTTTCTTCTTGTCCCATCCAAGCCACAAAGCGATACGACTTCCAGACCCCAACTGCCGAGCCCTGTCCACGTGCCACGAAACGGAAATCTAACCACGGCTCCAGCTTCGCCGCAGACGGTAGGGGGCTTTAGAGAAGCGCCCATGCAGGTGGACCGCAATCAAATACTGTCCAGCCGCAGCATCGGCACTCGTTTGGCAGCAACTGTGTCAGGTGTCTTTCGCGAAGGGGCTCGGCTCACCTGTCGATACAGATACAAGGCGTGAAGAACTCCGCTTCCTTCAGGGATTGGGACAGAGACTTGGGACACATGACCTCAGGTTTCAGCCCAGCAGATAGTGCGCTATATCATCCACATACTCTAGTTGGAGAACGTAGAGCTGCTTGTTCTTCAGCCGGTCTCATTCGAATTTGAGATGAGACCCGTTGCGTGACCATCCGCTCGAGGAATACAAAGCTCTAGCAACGAAGTCCTAACACGAAGCACTATCGCAAGAGACGCGGAACATCCCAGAGTCTTCTCGCGTATGCAACTCGGCGGAAGAAGCAGCCGTTGCAGAGTTGCGGACTGCGTAATCTGCGGGCGAACGACTTCTACAGCTACCGCAAAAACACATTCCGAAGTCTGAATAAGAAGAAATGGCATCATTGCAGTGGGGTCGCACAGGGCCTACTGTATCTATACGTAACCACTCAGAGCTTCAATCCCCAAGGGCATTAGGCTTCACATTAGCGGCGTTTGCACGAATGACAGCTATTGAGGTACAAGATCCCAGAAAAGGTCGGAAAACTTCTTTCAGATATACCTACCTTCTCGAATCTAAGTTCTGCATTGGAGGCGCAAGAGCACATATTAGGAGGTGCACAAGCTCGACGGTCTATCCCTTTTCTCGAGACACTCCACGGAAAAAACTTTTTTACCTGTTCAATAACGAACAAGGAATGCTGTACAATAGCGGTGCTCTCTATATTTTAGACCAAAAAACAGAAAGAAAATGCAGACGGAACCGCGACGCGCGGATTCTTCTACAAGTTGGGAGGCGTATACTCCCTCAAAATTGCTGAGCGGTAAGGGTGCCGCAGTTTCCGCAGGGCCTTAGACTCGATTTGTCGCACGCGCTCCTTGGTGACATCAAAAGCGCGTCCAATTTCCTCTAAAGTCTTGGCTCTGCCATCATCCAGTCCGTATCTCATGCGGACTACATCCCTTTCGCGAGGCGTTAAGCTGTTGACGACATGCTCCAAATCGTCACGCAGCAAGGAAGACTCCACACGATCCTCGGGGCTCTCCTCGTCGCTCTCGATGACATCACTCAGTGTGAGTGCATCATCCGAGCTGGATAGAGGGCAGTCGAGAGGAAGCGCTGACTGCATATTGACTCGCGTGGCACGAAGCTTTTCAACGGTGATCTTGCAATAATCGGCAATCTCCTGCTCCAACGGCGGGCGCCCAAGCTCATTCGTTAGAAACTTGGTGGCACGACGAATGGCCAATATAGTGTCATACAAGTGGACAGGTAGTCGAATAGTGCGCGACTGATCAGCAATAGACCTCGTAACGGCCTGTCGAACCCACCAGGTAGCGTAAGTAGAAAACTTGAATCCCCTCTCTGCGTCAAACTTCTCACAGGCGCGAATCAAGCCAAGCGTGCCCTCCTGAATGAGATCAGAAAGTGGCATTCCCCTATTCATATACCGCTTGGCAATGGAAACGACCAAACGCAAATTGCACACAATCATCCTATCCTTTGCCCTCTTCGCATGAAGCAAGCGTGTCGCGAAGTCAGTTTCGTCCATTCCCATGTACTGGGCCCATTCGTTAGTACTAGGCTGACGACCAATGGAATCGGCGAGCTCAACAAACATGCGCTGCCACTGCATGAGGTCACGGATCTGGCGACCGAGCGTAACCTCCTCCTCAGCACGAAGCAAACGGTCACCCCCAATGAGCTGGAGATACCACCGGACAGTGTTGTCGGCAAGGGTCGGCATTGCGTTGCGTTTCAGTATGTCTGGCTCGGCCTTTTTGGCAGAGGCTTTCTTCTTGCTGGCGCGCTTCGGCTTCTTTGGAACGGCCACGGGGTCTGACGTCTCGGCTGACGGTTTCGACTTTGATGCGGGTTTGACGACGGAAAGGAGGTCAGCCTCAACAAGGTCCGAAACAGAGACTGCTATAGTTTGGTCCACTGTGGATGTTGCGAGGGTGTCGGTTCGTTCCCCTGGCGGGGCGCGTTTTCGCTTTGCGTTAATTTTGGGCAATGCGTCCGGCTCCGGGAGGGTGGAGTCGATTAGGAGGTGTGGATGTTTTTCTAGCCTAGCGAGGGCGGCTGCCTCATCGTCTGCTGGGAGAACAAGGTCCATGGAGGCTTGCTGTGAGGGAGAAGAGGAGGTTGTGCGCTTAGTGCGGGGAAGCTGGGCGCGCTTGGCCGAGGGCCGGCCACGACGCTTCGGGGCAGCAATCATGCGTGGCGGGTCACGGTGGAAGGGGTGCGGGCGGCGGTGTGGCAGAGCGGGGGCGGCGGCGATGAAGGTAGGAGTGGAGTACATGGCGGGGGTGAGGATGGCGGAGGGGATTCGGGGAGATTGCGTTGGGGAGCGGGGATGCGGGGAGGGCGGGAAAGGGGCAAGGGGGCA